TACCAACAACTGTTATAAAACGGAGGCAACCCTTGGTCGGGTTAGGAGAGTGTTTGGCTTCGCAAGAGTTTAACCTTTAGAATTTTGGTCGAATAACAAAGGTCTACAGTCGGTCTGAAAGGGTAAATTAAGCCACTATTGGACGACAAGCCCCTCAGTCATTGTTTGGAATACAGTCCACAGAAGCTGAGAGTACTTCAAACCTCTTAACCAAGACAGAGACGAGGAAAAAACTGCAAAGCTCTAAAGTCTTGTAAGTACTTTATGTGGTTTACTTTGATCTTTTTTTCCACCGGTATACGCATTTGAAATCAAAAATGTGCAAAGAAAATGACTTTACATTCAAACACTCCCGTATAGTACTTGTATTTTTACTGAGACGAGTGAAGGTTGTTTTCTGGGCGATTATGAATTGATCTTGGATTGAATTTAATGGAGAGTTGGTGGTTAAATCCCAAACTAATTTTCAAATATTATTTTTTGTAAAAAAGTGACGCACCTAGTAAATTAATTTCCAAAACATAATCGATGTTTTAACTCGCTTCTCGATGATTGATCGTGCTGCTATTTTTGCAACCATTTTAGTTTTTAAAAAAAATGCAGCATTGCTCGAAGCAATTCAAAGATATTTCCATGGCATATTAATATTTTATGTCTTTTTTGCTATGCTTATTTTATATACTGGTGTGGTAAGGTTATCATCTGATCTAGCTCGTCTCGAAATAATAAAATGATTGCTTTAAAAGCCGAGCGATTTTTATATCAGATAGCCATATAAGTTACCATTGTCCCACAATATCCCACATGTTAAAGCAGCGTGCGCCATGTCATCCGTGGGGAAATTTTAATATGCGCATGCGCATGCTGCGTGATTAGAAACAGGCTTGGTTGTTTTTTCCAATGTTCTTAATAACCAGAAAAGCTGTCTCGGGTAAATGACAGTTAACTTCTTTTAATTACTCGAAATACTGGACTAAAGATAAAGGGAAAAAAGTCCGAAATTTCTAGGAACGATCCAAAAGCTTTATTCGATGGAAATGACTTTAAAACCATAATTTTTAGGTAAGTAAGATGAGAGCTTTGAAGAATTACTTGAGCAACTCTTTTTTGATCGTCATCTTCATCATCATCGTCATCTTCATCATAGCCATCATCATCATCATCATCATCATCATCATCATCATCATCATCACATTCTTTCCTTTCTCCTTTATCGCACAAGTTCAATCATTCTCGATATTTGTAGCCGATAGATCGATTAGAAATCTTGCAGAACTTTTCATTGAAAAACGGAAATAATGCCAAAACAAATAACCTCGAGACTGTAACATTATTTCAATAGAAACGGATAAAGAGAAAAGAAAAGGTAGGTTACTACAAATTAAATCTAATATATACCAGGTGAAATATTGCATAAATCTTATATACATCACAAAAGAAAAGAAAAAACAAGACTGCAAGCTGAAACCCGTAGCTTAAAGGTTATCAATACAAAATGAGACCGAAACATTCCAGGTGAAGTGCACACGCGTCTGTGTGAAGTTACGTTTTTGGCGCCAAAACGTGTTGCGTCGGTTAATTCAATGCCTTATCTTTCCACAAGACAAGACAAATCGAAAACAAAGTTTCTAAATTATTCATTTTCTTTTTTACTCGGTTAATCTAAGTCGCCGTTGTGTCTCAAACTTGATGAAGATAATCGTTGAATCGACTTGCAGAAGACAAACATGCTGGAGGTTATATCTAGTAAATTGTAAAGTTAAAAGGTTCCTAAATATAAAACGGCATTAATAATTACAGGATTTTAAATGAACATTTGACAAATACAAGGTGGCTTTCTTTTTCTTCTTCGTTGTCAGTTCTTTTTATCTTTCTTTCGTCTTTTTTTTAACAAGAGCCCCCATCTAATGTCGGCGTGTACGTGACGACGGAGGTGGGAAAGTGTAAGGGCAAGTATACTATCTTTAGGTGTTATAGAAATCCACGAGAAAGAGAGACACCCTGAGGGATTGCTATAATGGAAGGACTGAAATCTCTAGATCTTAGGTTGGGAAACTCCTTGTATAGGTGGGTAGAGTCGAATGGGTAACAAGATACGACGAGAGGATGCAAAATGACATCCCRAGGGGTGGGGGTGCAATACTGTTATAGATGTTTTAGCAATTGCCTTTAAATCTTTGCCTTTAATCTTTTTCTTCGGGCCATTTCTTAAAAAAAACCTTACCAAAAAATTTTTTTTAAAGATTTGTAACAAATAAATCAGAAATCGATTTCCATTTCATCCTCCGATCGCGACTTTGCCATGCTATAGAAGATAAGGCATTGACCCCCTTCACGGCCCTAGGGATATATTTTGACTATCACATATGGCGGTGGGGTTAGTCAATGTAGCTATTATCGTTGTCATCAATGGACATCAAGCTTTGAAAACAAGAATAGCGACAAAACATTTTTGTTTTTGTTTTTGTAAGTAAGCATTCCAAAGAGGGTGCTAGAGGTTAAGCAACGACAGATTGTATATATCTCACTATACCAGATAAATTATTTAAGATGTTGGTGTCATGCAAGTCTAGATCCGAATTGTTGCCAACAAAAACAGTCGTAATCTTGACGTGGATGTTTAGGCATTTCATAAATTTAATCGTCGCTCCGTATTCCGCCATGTTGGCGCCCAAGAAGGATCACGGTTCGTTATGGTCGGCACTTGATAAGAGATCTTGATCAGTTAGAGCAGGGGAGGGGATAGAAAGGTTTTACCCCGCCACCAATTCCTCCGGGGGGGGGGGCAGTAGTCTCCCAACGGTCTCATTATCGATCCGGCCTTGACTCGGCATCACGTATGAGTAGAGTTTGTTTGGTCTTTCCTTGATTCAAAGGTTTTGTCTGGGTTCAATGGAAAGAGGTCTGTTCGTAGGACAGGAAACTACAAGTAGATCTCTAAGTCAAAACAGTCTCGGTTACTAAACAAAACATGCTGGACTCATGCCTTGACTCATAAATCAGCTCTGAGGTTGTTTCAGGGCTCAATCTGTGAGTAAGCCATGCCCTGACTTAGATCAGCCCAGAGGTTGTTGCAGGGTTCTATCTGTGAGTTAGCCGTGCCCTGACTTAGATCAGCCCAGAGGTTGTTTCAGGGTTAGATCTGTGAGTAAGCCATGC